CCGTAACATATTTGGCGACGCAAGATGGAAGCAGATCAAATCGAAGTGATGTTTGAGCAACAGCTTCAACTTACAAAAGTACTTACGGAGCAGCTGTCAACTACATCTTTGGCTTCAGTGCCTGTGTCGAACGTCCAACGGCCGATTGACGGAATCGCTGGCAGTATCAACGAGTTTTGCTACGGACCCCAAGCTAGCATAACGTTTGATGCTTGGTTTCGTCGCTATGAAGACCTGTTCAGGGTCGACTTTTCAACTCAGAATGATTGTTGGAAGGTTTGTCTCTTGCTCCACAAACTTGGACCAGTAGAACATGATAAGTACAATAACTATATTCTTTTAAAGAACTCACGTGATTTCATACTTGACGAAACGGTTCACACGCTTTCGCAAATAGTTGGTGAGCAAGCTTCAATTTTCAACATCCATTATCGGTGCCTGAAGCTGGTAAAAAGTGACGCGGACGACTTTATCACTTATTCTGGCATCGTGGACCGGGAATGCGAACGGTCCAAACTCGGATCGTTGACGGAAGATCAGTTCAAGTCGCTAATCTACATAGGCGAACTACAATCCCCGAAGGACGACATCATCATCAAAGACAGCAACATCAGTGTTGGCACTGATGCTTCACTACCAAGGGACGCAGAAATCCGTACCCGACGCCTCAGCCGTATCGAACAGGACCCATCAATGATGCGGCAGGCCATCACCTCAGAATGTCAACGATTGCGTAACCTGAAGCATGACACCGCGATGGTCCAACTTGGGGGTCATAGCCGTCCCGAAGTTCATGCAATCCATCAGGCTATGCAACAGCCCGGCCCTGTAAATTCCAGCTCGACGAAATCGACTTCACAGTATTCTGGTCCGAAGCGAAACAAAGGCCCAAAAAGACAATTTCGGTACTGTGGAGCCTGGCATTTCGTCAGGTTCCGTTCCTACAAGCAGCATCGGTGCCGCCAATGTAAGTCCGTGGGACACAAGGATGGGTATTGTCGGTCACTGATGCATACGGCCTCTGGCACTTCAAAGCCGTCACCACGCATTCATCCCAAACCGAAATCGAACTCTGTTGGATCCTCTCTCAGTTTGCTGATTACTTTCTAGATCGAGACACCATATCACCGAAACTATCTCAGTCACCGTCAGTAGTCATCCAGTCCATCTGCAGTTGGACACCGCGTCGGACATTAACATCATGTCGGAGAAGCTTTGGAGCACGCTGGGGCAACCTCCGATCACACAAGCCGCTCGAACTGCTACCAGTGCCTGAGATGGAGAGCTAAAACTTTCCGGTGAGCTCCAACGTTGTGTCTCTTCAGGGGACTACATTCATGGGGTCGTGTTATGTAACGGTAGCTGAGCTGAACTTATTGGGTTTTGATTGGTTCTATCGCTTGGGATTATCCTATACTCCAATCCGTGTCATTTGCACTACAGTTCAGTCTCTCACGGCGCATCCAGATCATGCATCCGACTTTATCAAGCGATTTCCAGTTGTTTTCCAACCCGGTCTCGGTCAGTGCGCCGCGACACAAGCAGTCCCACACCTCCCGCCAGGTGTTACGCCAGTCTTCCGTCCAAGGAGACCGGTCCAGTACGCTTCACTCCCACTGACAGATGCCCAACTTCAACAGCTGGAACAAGGCGGATCGGAGAAGGCCATCATGCATGCGTCGAAATCACTAACGCCAGCAGAACAGCGACACGGACGGACAGATAAAGAAGCGTTGGCCTCAGTGTTCGCCATCCGACGTTTCCACAAGTTGTTGTACGGTCGCCGTGTCACCCTACTTACCGACCATACACCATTAGTCTCCATTTCCGGTTCAAAGAAAGGTGTTCCCGCACACTGTCAACCGCCTGCAAAGATGGGCTGTTAGCGCCCTAGTTGTGACGTAATTAAGTTGATTGTCAGAAGGTAACAAGCACTAACAAATGTCTGCCTTACTATAATGTGATGAATACAATAGTTAGCTGCACTCGGTAAAAATAGATACAATGCGAAAAGTGGAATAAGCCAAAAGGTGACTTATCGTTTGAGGACACTTGTTGAGAGTTAGAGTGAAGTTCCGGATGCGGGACGTGTCTTCTCTGCAGTATAGCTGCTACACATGTTCCGCAGTTGTCCGTGGAGACTTGTGGAGCTCTATCGACTTCCTGTCCTGTGCGCGCACATGTGTTTGGCCGAGTTGTACGCCTATTTATTGAGTGCAGTGTAAAGAGAGGGGTGTCCTTCGTGTTTGATGCTTGAAATAACATGAATACAACGTGACCTGATGTGTTGAAGTTCATAAGCCCGGCGCGTTACGCAAGTGGTAGCCACGTAAACAAAAATGGATGAGAATTTGTAGTGTACAAGTCGTCGGCCAAGGTTGCAAGTGGAACAAGAATTGTCACGTGGGGAGTGCTTGTAACGCGTGATCTGATGAGTGACCTCTGCAGGGCGCTTATTATGCTGGGCTACGACTTTGATATTCAATATCAATATCAATGACCGACTTCGGTCAGGCAGATGCATTATCTCTCCTGATCAGCAATCAGCCAACTCACGGCAAAGACATGGCCATTGCGCAGGTTGCATTTGAGGACCCAGCCGACCCCCAGTTGGTCCAGCCTGTTCGTGTATCACCTATGACAGTGAGAGAGGTTCAAAAAGCTACCATGGCTGACCCGACGTCTCAAAAGGTGCTCCAATTGGTGAATTCTCAGTGGCCTTCGAGTCTCAAAGATGATTGCCGTCGACAGCTCCCTCATTGCCGATGCACTGGCAGCCGTAAAAAACTAATGATTGAAGTTCGCGTCGTGATTCCTCAATCCTTACGCCATCGAGTCCTCTGTCAACTTCATTCTGGGCATCCAGGAATAAAGCGCATGAAGTCAATAGCTCACAGTTACGCTTACCGGCCGCATACGGACCAAGACATCACTGATTTTGTAAAACGCTGCTCCCGATGCCAACAAGCTGTCAAGGGGAATGCGCCTAGGAAACACTGCCTTCACACTTCTGTCCCAGAGGACAATAGGACTTTACCCCCAGCACGATTACTCGTAGTACGGGGTCTCGTTGTCCTTGGTTTGACTGCTCCCTTTGGCCTTCCTGGTATGGCTGCACCTTATGGAACGAAGCTCCAGTCAATGTAGCTGTCTTCATCTGGTCGGCTGATCCACTAAAGATATAAGACAAGACTACATCCAGTGACCAACGCCTTCATCATTTGACTCTTCGCCGTTCACCCGAAGACTTTCGATCCTTTATATCTGAGGTTTGCGTCCGTCGCCCCAGCAACCAGGATTACTGACCTCGAGGAAATCTGGTGTTCGTTTCATCTGACAGTATCTCAGACACCAAGCTGTACAACTATGAATTCAGAAGATTCCACAGATGAACGGCAGTGTACAAGCCAGCAAAGCGCGTTCGGCAACTTACACGCTAAACGTACCGCGAGCCATTGACTCATGTTCACCGAACACCGAAAAAACCAAAAGGACGGGTCCGTTCTGAGTGCCTCAAGGCAAGTAATCACATTTTGACTTAGTACACGCGCCACGTCGATTGTGCACGGCTTCAAGCCGTATGCATTTTGCAGTGGTCTTCGCTTCCGCACTTCCCTCCACAAATGAGCGAGGCGAGAATAAGCACACTTGTGAGAACAGGAAACAAAGCTATGAATTCAAGGCTAGCCAACGGGAGAATGACTTGGCCCCTAATCTCAGAAGACAGTGGTAACCGAAACAGCTCAGATTGCTGGTAACAACACACTTCGCTACTAAGTCCTGGCTCGATCACCTCTTTGGTTTGACCACCCGCATGGTTATGCAACGATAAAGACAAGAGCGGTGCGAAGGGCAGGACTACCAGCAATTGTCTTCTGTTGACCTCACCTTCTCCATCAGACATGATGCTTGCTCGAGATGGTTCTTCTGATCCAACACGGCGGCCGTTACGTGGTCCATGACCTGTTCCCTAACACCAGACACGGAGCAACTCTGTGGTATTTTTCAACGCCCGTATACAAGCTGACAATCAAACAAACCCTACTGGTGTGACCCATAGTCTCACTAAGCATTTGCTAAAGCGGGGTTAAAAGCGTCACACCACGACATTGACCTATCCCAGAACGAAAAACGAAGGTTGGACGGCAGTGAACAGCCAATTCCGCTGCACGTGTAGTTTCGCAGATTTCCCGGCATACATCTGCCTCAAAAGGCTTTGAAACCTGATTACCTGCGCCCAAGCGACGACCCAAGCAAAATATTCGAAGGCCAATGGCCTGTTGTGCAGGATGTTTGTCGTGCTTAGATTACCATTTTGAACAAGTCTACCAGTGATGGGTGTGAAAACGCCGGACAGGATCGACCATGGAAACTAACTGACCTCATGGAGTGACGGACATTACAGTCCCTTGACGGCCTCGGGAAACGGTCGTGTACCGTGATTTTACTGCGATTACGAACACAGGACCAACACAGAAAATCATTATGCACGACAAAGCAATGCTACATATTTTTTCAGACAGTTCAGGAAAATCATTGACAAAAAACACCAAAAAAAAATCCGATGTCCTTATTGACTTGTAATTTGGCTTGGTTCGCCTGCTAACGTAGCACCAGATTAGGCACCCCACAAATAAGTGCACTCAAAAAAGCGGCGCTTCCCGATGGTTGTCTCTAATTTAGAGGTTGAATAGCCCCCGATTGAAAACAAATGCGAAGCTCAGTAGCTTAACAAAATCTGAGCAGCTACAATCCACGAGCCTAATACATGGCAGCCGACAGAGTCCTACATTCGCCCTAGTGGTCATCCAAACATTTCAATTCACGCTTGATTAAAAAAAAACATCCCCGGCCATAACTCACTGTTGACGTCTGAAAAACGTTTTAATTCCGACTACAGAAAGACCACATATATGTTGAATGTCTTCGAAAGCGCGAAACGTACAGTGCATCTCATGGCATGTGTTGGTTAGTAGATGACAGGGGTCCAAGATAGGGGATCAGGCAGACGCACACTGGACTCGGGGGTTTCCACCCTCTGTTGCGTCATCATCATCATACGCCTCAGCTCGACGACCATGGTGCTGCTGAGTATCACGCTCAGGATCAAACGGGTGGAGAACAACCTCCTCCGCATCCTGAGGAATATCATCAATGTGTACGGGTGGTGGGAGAAGCTCCCTCAGTTGGTTGAGTTTATTCGTGGGAAGGAAGTTATTCGGTGGGAAGATGACTTGGAACCGGACGATGAGACGACCTTTTTCGAACGGAGATTTGTATCGCGGCATTCCCTCACCCTCGATCGCACGATAATCACTGCTAGTAAAAACCTCACCTAGAGAGAATAAATTTGGAGTAATAGGACCTACCGGGTTTCGATGTGAGGACAAGTGTCCGGTTATCAAGTGTGTCTATCGTGCGGGTAAAACCACAAAGCGCCTCATTTAGAGTAAGAGGCATTGTGTAAATGAGATCAGTTCGACGACGAACAAAACGATCGTGGGCTTGCTCATCGATCACGATTATAACGTCCCCAGGCTCTAGCCCAGGTTCCCTGTCACCTTCTCCAGCGAACTTGATAGATTCTCCATCAGCCATTCCCTTGTCAATGGGAACCTCGATGACCTTCTTTTCCCTCACCACTTTCTTCCCCTCGCACGTCTTGCAACAATCCTTTGGATCAATTATTTCTCGCTCCCCTCTGCAAACCGAACAAGTGCTTTGAATTTGCTGAACATAACCTATCCCCAATTGCCGGATATGTGTTTGGACGCCAGTTCCACGACAGGTTCTGCACTGCTGAACAGCACCGGATTTGCCTCCTCGACCTACAAGGTATTAAACCCATACTAAAAGTTAACTAACCGTCGCATTTGCTGCATATGCTGTTCCGCGTAATGGAGAGTTTTCTGACGCAACCATTGTAGAGTTCTTCTAATTTAACTGAGAGCTGATAAACAGCGTCCTTTCCACGGCGCGGACCCCTTGAACGACCGCCGCCACCGAAAAACATTTCGAATATGTCCATTGGGTTGTGAAACCCGCTTCCTTCAGCCCCTCCTTCCTTGATTGCTTGCTCCCCACCCTCATCATAGATCCGACGCTTCTTCGGGTCACTGATAACCTCAAATGCTTGAGAAATCTCCTTGAACTAAACCGCAATTAGAGAATTAAGCGATTCACCTTTTCACCATTGTCCTTGCTCTTATCTGGATGATGCTGGAGCGCAAGCTTCCTATACGCCTTCTTTATTTCTTCTGGAGTGGCGTTAGGATGCACCCCCAAGACGTCATAATACTTAGTTTCGCGCACCATCTCTTCGGTCTACTGAAGTCAACGGCGCCAGAAGTTTCTCGAGGTCGTTAGTGCAGTAAAAGTAGTAACAGATAGGCTAAAACTCCTGTCTGATATGTTTGCTCCGCTCGAGAGTTCCTGTGGATTTTGATCAAGATTTGCATTTCAGTAGAAGGAGCGATACGCACTACTTCGTTTGATCGGCCACAGTATGGTTCGCGGCAAAGTTTATCTGATCACTGTAAAATTTGAGTTCAAAGTAGATGAAAAATCAAGACGCGTGATAGCGAGAGAAGGAGATTAGGAGAGGCTACGTACCATTGTGCCCAAGGTCTGATTCGGTGGCTTTGAAATTCGCTACGCCATGTGTGAGTTGGTGTTGGAGTAACCTCCCCTTATTTAACTCGGTTGTCTCTGGACTTCCTTCTCTTATTTTTCATCCATAAATTCTGTTATCCTTCTGTTTATAATCCACCGCCTGTGTACATGACGCCACAGCTTTTTACCTGGGTACTGCTCACGCTGGGATAAAGGCATTTATTTTGTGTTGGTTAACGGGGTGCCGTCACTGGTCACAGTGTTCTGTCTGGGGATTCTATTTGAAATTTGTTTGCATACTCGGACCTTCATGAAATTTCGTATGGATCTTTGGGATCTGCATTACTATCATTGCCATAATGACTCGTCAGCTCGTAGGGCAGAGAGCATGTTATGCTACGATCTCTTCCTGTGATAGCCGCGATGTTTGTCTCGATGGTGATATGGAGGACTTCTACACTGGGTAAAAATGGCCATTGTGTGCTGTTGTTATTCATCCTGCCCAGTCGCATTTGTTTTGACTGCCAGATGTGATTAACTCTAGGTGCTGCATGCTCACCCAACATTTTCGGTAAAATTAACTTCTTTCACGATATTGAAAGATCTGTGAGGGAAAATGCATACAATGTCAACTTCAAAGAACAGTGCTGTTTTTAAGGCAGTAAAATTTATGTGATACTATGCAATTCTCGCACATTCCGGAGTCCGGTCGATTAATTTACTCCCAAACCAGTCCTCCACATTCATGCGGAGTTAATTCCAGGGTACGTTTTGGAGAAACTCAAGCACGTTAAGCACAATTTGAAGAAACATTCAAGCAAACTCCATCACAATCTGCAGTACGGCTCCCAGGGCTCTCCATTACGGAGCTGTGCGTGTTCTGCTTGTTCATTTGGTAATGAGTACCGAAGTTAACATTTCAAACTGTTTCCATGCATCCTAGGATAATCTCACTTAATCCGTCACATTGAGTTCAATCAACCTGGTAGACCTGTCTATGTTATTTTTTTGCAATAGTGGTACAACAGAAAGGCTTACTTTTTCGTTTCATATTTCTGGAAGCAAACTTGGTTCATCGTGCAAGAATCTGCATGAGCAATAATTCGGGTAAGCATGGAGCTAACGAAGAGTTGACGAAGATGTCCCTTATGCTGCAAAGGACCGCTGACATATTTGACGAAACTTTATCAGGAGACCTATCGTACTGTCATACCTGGTGCTCTTTTGTGCGACCCGCGCTGCACAAACGTCTTCCGAATAACGGTCAAAAGTATCACACAACCAGAAAAATAAAGTAACTTCAACGAAGGAAGCGTGAGACCATCACAATTTTTGACCTCTGACCGCAAACATGTCAGTCCCGCCGAAAAATACCTTACGGCAGGAAGCTGGCAGCAGTTTTTCCTAAATTCAAGGTACCTTCTTCCCAATTTGCCACGTAACACTTAGCAAACAAATCGTTTTCATGGATTTCGCAGAAGAATTAAAAGGCTTTCTATTGTGGCGATTTTACTTCCATTATAACACTACGTATTTCATCAATTGCATAATCATTTTTTGTTTGAATACGGAAAACTACAAAAACGCGCACTTGTACAATTTCTCATAATACAAGTGTGGTCGCGTGCTTCGACTCTCTCTTCTGATTTCGCTCGCGCTTGCAGCGGTCATTCGCGAGTCTCATGTACTAACTCTGGTACCAAAACATTTCAGACATCTTCGGAATCTATTATGTGTGGGAACTGTTCAGAAGAAGACCTCTGGACCAACATAATTGGATTATTGCTTATTCGCTGACCTGGGCCAACGACGAACTATTTTAAAGGGAACAATTGGTAATGAGTCTGTTCCATCTGATCTCTTTAGTTTTGTATACCCAACCTAGCGTAATCATTTTTATTTCTTTGCCACACACTCCTGGTAAACTAACTTATTGGGTAGCCAGACCACTAC